TGGATTGGATTAAGTAGAAGCAAGAAAGTGTATCTTACAAAGATGTTTTTCGAACGATTTTCCTATGGTTTCCGTAGCCGTAAAAAATAGGACCACCTCCCGCCTCAACATCCGAACGACAATATCAAGAATATGGGTATGTACTCTAAAGAGTCCCAGATGTTTTATTTTTTTCACGGCCAATATATGTATGTATATAGAGCCCACAATACCCTCTTCAAGAGTATTCGAAAACAGAAAAATGTTTTTGGCCACAAATTTTTCGGTTAAATTCAGTAGCCGGCAGTTGCTTGACCTCGGGACTCTGAACTCAAATTGTGGTGCAGCCTCGGTTTGATTGTCTTCGGAGGCAGCCAGAGTGGGTTTTGTTGCAAGAAGCAGGAGGACGGGGGCTGGAAGCTGCAGCCGGCAATAATCAACAACAAGAGCAAATAAAAGAGTCATGTTGCGGCATCAGGCGGCAGCAATTGCAGAGTTTGTTCAATTTGTTGGCCAAACAAAGTAGACATTAATTGAACCCGGAATCGATGGCCCACAACTAAATAAAGAGATTTTTTAGATCAGTTCATTGGACTCTTGCGGATTCCTGTACCAAGCTAAAGATCCCTATTCTGGGTCGTTCTAGAATATAGCCATGGTTCTGGGTTCTCGGTTCTGGGTGTTTCTTTACCCTTTTTGGTCACGTACGAAATGCAATAATTTACAACACGTTGGACGGACCAACAGAAACATCTTTGGTAGCATCTACAGCCTCATCTTCTACATCTTCTTCTGTAATACCTTGCTCAGCATCATCATCATCATCTGCAGTATCTTCGCCAGCATCAGCCTCCCCATCATGCATCGGCAACATGCAACACTGAGGAGAGGCAACAATCAACACCTGTAACCCTTTTTTTAGAGCCACTCAAACGCATAATTTGAACTGGTTCTATTACACGTTCTATAATCCGTGACGATCGATTGCCTGGTGATATCCTTGTCCATGCAATTAAGTAATGTTTCACAGAGAAAACCTGGGGAGGCACACATAGTGCGAGGAAATTCAAATTACATTTATTACGATCGATCGGGCTTAATCTGCTTATTTAGTTCACTTATCGAAATCTGGGCTCCACTCCACTGCAATACACGGCACCGCAGCCTGTGGCTGTGGGCCACGCAAATTTGTTAAAAAGATATTGGCATTTATGTTGTTATTAGGTTTTATTAATGGGTTGCGGTTTCCGCGGGCACCAAGGCAACAGACTGCAGGTCTTTGATAAGCATTGACAGCGCACATCTACTCGTGGAATGGATGCCGGGTCATTTTCACATGGCGCAAGTCGAGAATCCCATTTCCAACTAAAAATACAAGCTAAGAACTCTTTGGTTGATAGTTTCGATAGTGGGATACCCAGTACTTATTTTTCCTTTTGTGGCAAATATAAAGAAAGGAGTTTATCACATGGAAAATGATTAAGAGAAAACAATCAAACAAGCTATGGAAAATGAGAAGAGATTGTAATACAACTAGTTAGATAATGGCTGTGTTTATAACTATACCAATCTTTAAAAATGTTAATTCCGCAGTTCTAATGATACCAAGGCCTGTCACAAAAATCTTCTCAAGTATATGCCCTATATGCCACGCATACCGTGTATCATAGACCCAACAGATTTCATTTGCGGTTGCAATCAGACTCTGTGATGGCCTCGTGCCGGCTCTCAACCCAAATCTTCATAGATACTTCTGTAAACGATCTTCGCGTGTCACGAGCACGTGTTCAACTCTGATAAAAAGTTAGCTGTGCAGATCGCTGGGCAGATTTTCTGCGGTTCGTTCTCAGTTTTCAGCATCGAATTTACAAAGTTTTCAGAGATTTCCCTTCGCCTCGGAAAATGGTCTCATACAGCGCGCACAATTGACGCGTGTTGGTGATTGCCATTGGTCGTACCTTTCCATTTAATGGTGTCCATATGATTCACGGCACACAGAGGTGCACCACACTCCTCCACGCTCCTTGCTCCACTGGACTCCACACTCCACTCGGATGGCTGCCACATCGAAGTCCAAGGCACAAGAAAACAAAAATTCGTTAAATACAATTGGATTTTTCTCCTTTTGGGCTCCAGTGACGATGTGGCTGGGGACGTTGATGATGTGCCTCTGCCACCTCCTTTGGGTCTCTAACTCCAACGCGGTGCAGGAATCGTGCATTGGAGACTCTGGCATAGCACTCCCCCGCGGTGTGCCCCTTCCTTCACCCTTTTTGCAAAAACAATTGCAATTTTCAACTAATGCTTATTGCTGGAAATCAGTTTAGGAAAAGCCAAAGGAGTCGGCACTCGCGAATGGGAGTCGGAGTCGGAGTCTGTGTCTGGGTGAGGAGTATGTTGGAGTCGCTGTTGGAGTCGAAGTCCCAGTCACCTGGGCCTGAACTCTGAGCCGAACTCTCTGTTCGAGAGCAGCAGCACCACTGAAAAGGTGAGTCCAGTCCATGCCACAGTCGCCTCTTTGATGAAAACTGTAAATTTACGAACTTTACTTTAATCACCAAACATGAATCGCGCACAGCATGGAGCTGGCTGGCGAACTGAACCGAGCCGTAACCGAGGCGAGCTTCATCCCATACCATCCCATCCCATCCCATCCCGATTTTCTGTGATACCAATCCCCCATCCAGGGGGACCCCCAACCTGATACCCTGCACACTCTCTCTCACTCTTCTTCATAACCATCATCGTCGTCTTGGTCTTCATCTTGGTCTTGTGGCAGCGTCTCTGGCTCTTGATTCTGTTGCTCTTGTGGCAGATGCGCTGCTGTTGCTCTTGTGGCTTGGTTTTGGGTGTCGAAACCTCTCGTCAGTGTGGATGTCTGTCTGCTAGTTATTTAACTTTTGTTGCTTATGAAATTTAATAATTTATATTGTAGATTAATTGGGTTTAATTAAGTGGTAACGATGGGAAATTATAGAATTGTGGGATTGGGTTTTTGGATAGAAAGTGCTAAATGGATGCAGAAATTGAATAGCAATACGGATATTACCCAACGATTCTTTCCACTTTATATGCTGGCAACCAATGAAAGCTTTCCACACTCACTTTTTCAATTTCCATCTTCCCTGAGAGCTCTTCCAATACCTTCACTACCTTCTCTGAGAACTCTCTTTTGCTTTCCCCCAAAACAGGCCCACTCCATAAACAATGGTCCTCCTCCCTTCTTTACAGAACTTTATTGGTGGACAACTTTTAGCCGTTTGCATGTTTCAGTGTTTCAGAATTTCCAGCTGGTCTCTGAGTGAAAATATTTCTTAGCATTTCGACGCATGTTGCGAGTTTTGTTTGCTGTCGTTGTTACCATGTTTTGATTTGCAACACGCCGGGGTCCTTTTGTCCTCCGTCCAGCCAGCCAGCCAGCCAGCCAGCCAGCAGTAGGAGTAGGAGTTACAGCAGAGGAGTAGCAGACGATAACAGGGAGCAGGAAGGCGCTCATTGACTTTGCCCTCGAAGTTGTCACTGCTGCTGCTGCCGCTTCCGATAGCCAGGGACTGGACTCTGGAATTGGGATGGGAATGGGAATGGGAATGGACCCAAAGCGATTCCATGTCGCAGCATGTTGTCAGTGTTTATATGTTCGGCTGCGTTTTGTCCTCTCTTGTCCCAATACTTTTTGGGCATACTTCTGGTCATTTCTGGCCTTCGTTTTGGGCCTACTTCTGGTCATTCTTGCCTTCGTTTTGTTTTGCTTCTGATTCCTGCTCCCACTCATCGCTCGTCCCGCCGGCGATACTGGTTTCTGTTCTGGTCTTTTATGTCGTCAATTGGTCGAGTGCGTGCTTTGTTGCCATCGCTGAGTGTTTATGCCTTTGTTTTGACTTCAACTTCGAGTCGATGCTGTATCTGATAATTTATTGCCCGGCTTGTGCCAAAAAAAGAAGAAGGAATCGAAAAGGGAAGATCAGTCGTGTGCCCAAAGAGATGGTCTCCCAGGCAAGAGATATGCGGGGCAATGGGCAACACCTTCGAATCGAGCATCTGGTACTACTTTTGGGTAGCCTTTGATTTTGGTCACTTTTGTTCTTGTTGTTTGGATGTATGTATCTTCTGTTTATGGACTGCTCCTCCTTCTCATGGGTGCCCTATGGTGCACAAATGAAAAATCCACTCCGACTCATTGTGTCGCCTGTCACCCGGAATTAGTAACTACAAGTATGTTAAAAGGTTCATTCATGTTGCGCTTGTTTTGACTTTTGTTTCGCGCCATCGTCTTCCTCCTACTGCCGCATGTCCTCTCCAGACATTTGTACACAGTACTCGTCGAGTTGTTCTGGGATTTGTTCTGGTATCAGTTTCATTTAGCAGCTTCACGGTGTCCTCTCTTGCTTGTAAATTGATAGCCAGCCAAAATAGTTGGCATACTCGTATTTGCCATGAACAATTTCGGGCCGACAACTGGAAAACTGAAACTGCAAATGCATTGCCAAAGTATTTGACTTCAAAGTGTAGAGGTTCTGCAATTGGGAGTGGGAAGAGAGAGCCTTTAATTAGCAATGAACCCATGAAGGGGTAGTGCCTTTTGATTGTAAGGATTGAACTGCTAGAAAATACAATGATATTCGGATAATAATGTCAAAGATTTTAATGCGAGAAAATGGAGAATCAACAGATAGAAGCAATCTATTGGTCCTATTCTCCATATGTCTATATAGATAGAGAGCATGATGCTATCGTATATCTCGTTTCGTAGAAATCTTCAAGTCTTCTGAAAAGACACGTTTTTTAATACACCTAAATATTTTTGCCCAAGATCTGTTTGATGTCAAAATACTTAAATACCCAAAAATAGGCAAAAATTTGAATCATTTTGAGTTTAGCCTCATTTAGATCGCTTTGGATAATTCTGTAGTTCAATGCAATTAAGAAATATTCAGAGAATAAAATTAAGTGAGAAACGTGTGTTTTATAGCCTTTATTCAATAAAAATACAGCTTTAACTTCACATTTTCGGTTCCTCTGGTTCAGTTTCTTCCACTCGTTTGGGTTTGGGCCACATTATACCATGACATTTTGGGTGACACACCCGCTTGGACGTATCTTTCGGATGCAGCATTCGATGTCAGCTGAGGATCTAGTTCTCGAGTATCAAAGAAGCCATCAGAGACAATAGTTCCGTATACCACTTCCTCATCTGCTGAAGGAGCGTGATACTTCTTCGATGAGTCCCCATCGCATAGAGCCAAATCCAGTTCCGTGCGTTTTTGGGAGATGATCAGTGATTGAAGCTGATCGTTGATCGAACTGAGGTTGGTAGGAGCCCACTTCTGGACACCTTCTCTCAGACTATCCATACTCCTCTTCTGGGTTTGGTTGAGGATGGCCAATTGGTATTCCAGGAATGCTAACTGCCCTACGCTGCTCTTGCTGTTCTTCCACACGATAGGGAGATTCTCCAGTTCAGCCAAAGAGTTGACTTGGGAGCTGTTAATGCTGCCGGCTGTTAGATTGAGGTTCAGAACCTTGGGTTTGATACTCTGCTGAATAATTTGGCGCAAACGATTTAGCTTCTGATCGAATCCCTTTGAGTTGCGGATCATCTTGCTCTGAATATCCCCAATTTTCCCAGAACAACTGCTGATTTTTTCCTTGGTCTCATTCTGCAATTGGAGCATATAGGCGACGTCATCGACTATATGACTTGCATCCCCATCAATCTTGCGGATGGCCTTGACAAAGCTACGAAGGAGCTCAGCCTCTCTGAAGAAAGAATTTCTTGTGGCATTGAGCACGAGTCCTTCGGCATAGCGTATCGCGGGTAAAAATTCCTTTTGTTTTTCAAGACTCCAAGTGATGTTTCTGTTAATGGCAAGGATATCGCTGAGCAATATCATTGATAGGTTAAGGGCAGCGGTGTTCTTAGCGAAAAGTGCCAAAAGTTTAGCTTCTTCCGATTGATCGGTTCTTGTTTCATTGGAAACAGTTTTGGTAAGTATAGCTTTAGGGGGAGTAGTTGAGCTGAGAACAGCATTGGTTGGTATTTCGGTGGAAACTGTTGTAGTGGGAAGAGTTGTAAGCTCAGAAGTAGGAACAGTTCCAGGAACAATTGTAACAGCAGTCGTATTTATTGCCTGGGCTCCCATTGGGGCTTCTGTTGCAGAAGAACCACTCTCGGGGTCATCATCATCTTCAAAGTCCACATCGAGCTTATCGTCGTCGGAGGAAGTGGGAACAGTCGGGGTCGAGGGGGACGTCGATGGACTTCTTGCTTGATCCTGCGCCATCGATCCAGCCAGAAGGCACAAAAAAACAAATAAAGATACTTGAACAATGGCTATACTCATTCCGATTTTAGTTCCGACTTTGTTGCAATGAAAATGGAACCGAAAGTTCAACTGCCTTCAGGTGGCCTTCACCTCTGCTTAAATACGCTTAAACTGCAGAGCCACCTTCACGTTCCGTTCCGTTGTGCAGGTGTGCTATCGTTTAGTTTTTTCAGAGTCTTTCCATCTTATCATTTTCGGTTGGGTGGGGGGGTTTATGTGTCGGTGGGTCACAGCGCGGATTCAGCACGAGTTTGATGTTTGAAGAAGCTGCTGTCGATTCTGGTTGGGAAACAAAAAAAGCACTGGGGTAGATTTCCCCATTCATAAGAAAGCTAACTATTAACCGCACAAGAGAGTCAACGCCAGCCAACATGAGGGTCACACTCAAAGTCAAATTTTAATGAAAAAGTGATTCATCATTTAACCGACATCGTTCCAACAATTAATGGAAAACGGGGTAAGGGAGAGGCTGAGGGTGAGGCGAGGGTGAGGCGAGGGTAGGCCCCCGTTCAATAAGCGGGTCAAATTAGAATAAATAGTTACACAAACAAGCAGACCCCTTTGCACTCGCGCCCTCTCTCCCTCGCTCTCTGGTGGAAATATTGCAACAAATCAAAAAATTAAAAATAAATAAAAATGAATTGAATAATTTAGGTCACCAAAGTCTCTCTCTCCCTCTCGATCTCTGAATGAATGCGATCGAACATGAACGAAGAAACCTATGAATGAGTCGCGCGTCAAGATGATGATGGTGGTTGAATGGGTTCTGTTCTGTTCTACTCGTATATGGTTTTTGGATCCTAAATTAATTGCCGCATAATTCATACATTGCATGCGAGCTTCAGTTGAAAGAAAAACTATTGAAATATATGAAAATATTTTGAAAATTAGGGTGCTCTCCCGCTCTCTCCCTCTGTTATGCTGGTTGACATTTTCAACCCATTTCAATACTGGGAACGGTGGGGGAGGACAGAAAGTAAGTACTATTCCGTAGTGTGGATTGAGAGCGGGATTGCATGGCATGCAATTATGCATTCATCAAGATTATGACACGACATGCAACATGCCTCTTGTGTCTTTAGCAGCAAATGAATTTGTACTTTAGCTGATGTTCTATGGAAGCTTTCCACTGCGGTGTACATCTACAGCTATGACTATAGGAACTTGCTGATGTTGTCTCTGGGATGTGTTTTGATAGAACAATTTTGCTCGGGACTAGGGGGCGCTCGAGACGGCGTGCACGCGATTTGGAAGCGGCGCGTAATTAATCGTCAAATGAGTTTAATTGTTTATGTCTGAACGAAAGGTTCTCTGGCGGTTTTTTTTCTTTTGAGATAGAGAACACAGCAAAGCATATCAAAAATATGGCTCACAAGCACTTAACCAAGAGTTTAACTAATGGTTTAAGTCGCGAGACAAAGTAGAGCGATGGTTTTTAGTTTTTTTTTAGTATTTATAACAGCAGGGAATGCCAAAGGAATTTCCTTAATGATTTGGGGCTTCCTAAAGTGAACATTTTCACATTAAAACCTCATACGTCTCGCCATTATTAACGGAAATTAAAAATTAGAAAGCCAGCAAATAGAAAATTAAAAAAATATAAAACGAAACAATCTTTCGGCCTTGGGGTGACCCCAGGTCCTTTTTCCTGTTTCCTGGGACATACGGCGGCGTTCAACATTCATCATCAGCCAAGTGCAACCGCCAGAGGAGAAAGAGTGGGAACAGTGGCTCATGGCTGTGTGGCTCTGGTGGTTTCCTGCTGATTAAAACAAAAAAAACAAAATTAACAGAAAATTTGCATTTTAATACAAAAAATGCGAGCACGAACAAAAAATTGTACTCCCCCTTAATTCCGTTCTGGTTTTTCGTGGAGAAAGGAGATTCTGTTCTTCAGAGAGGGAGGAGTAAGAAACAAAGGAGGGCTAATAATTTTATCAGCGACAAACAGTTGACAAAATCAGCAAAATTTTCTTTTCCCGGCTCAGGTCCTGCATCCGTTTTGCTTGGGAAACTTAAATTAACTGTGAAAGCGACCACGCAGCGAAGACATTTGTCTTGTGTCCTAGAGGACTTTTCCTTGCAGGGGAGGATGCTATATGGTTGGGGTCTGTGTCAGCGTCTGTCTTGGAGATTATTAATCATCTTTTGTGCGCATATTTTGGTTTTTCGTACGCCTCATTGCAGTCCCTGCTCTCTGACGCCACTTTTTGAACTTTTTGGCTGAAATGCCCTTACCTTTCCTCTTGTTTCTGCTTTTGCTAAGGGAAATCCTTTTCTAAGGAAATTATCTTTCATGGTATTCTGTGAAGTTTTAGACTTTATTTTTTGAAATGTGGTCTAATGAATTTCTGTTGATAAAGAACTTGATACATTTTCAACTTAATTAAGTTGCTCGCTTGTCAGAACGTAAGACAGAGAGAGAAAGAGAGAGAGAGAGAGAGAGAGAGAGAGTTGTGCGTGCGTTTGAAGTTGAAAATCTTGAGATATATTCAGGTAGATATATTAGATTAATTTAGAGATGTTGCAGCTAATTAAGACATTTATTGTGGTGCTAAAAATGTCGGTTATCAGGACTCTAAATCATGTTTGTTATGGAAACATTAGGCTGTAAGAGCTACTATGAGAGAAACTAATATTTATATGAGTATTCATTTTACTGTGGCTCATTCCCACTGCTAAAATATCGCTTTAAAGGTAGCTCTAACTCTGGCTTTAACTAGCGCTTTCATCATAGCTAAATTCATACTGAAAGATGTATTTTTTTCGGAATTTTTCATTTGCATTTCCCTTCAAGCCAAACTTTTCATCCGGCAGTTACTTTAAGCCAATAAATTGATCAAAGATCCAACGCCAACCCCTTTACGCCGCTCCATCTGTTTGGGCTTAAAGCGTTAATTCGTAATTTATGTGTCACACAAATCGAAATTGAATGCCAGGCGAAATTATGGAATATTTATCATTTCACACGAGTCCCAGCCGATCGCAGCCACTCTCTGAAGCAGGAGGCCTGACCACCAAGAAAGACAACGCTATGGTGGGGATCAGAGAGTAGCCTTTGGGGCCAAGAGCTGACCAAGCTCTGGCCCAGACCATGGCCAAAGGAACGTTTGTCAATTCGAATTACGAATTACGACAAAGTGCGCTTAAGTTATGTGCGTGTTTCGCTTTCAGGATGGGAGGAAAGAGGTCTGGGTCTGGGCCATAAAGTTGGACGCCCTTTTGGCCATCTTCGAGTGTTGTGGCTGCTAACCGTAAATCCGCACACAAAGAGGGAAATATTTATAACGTTTGCATACTCCATACATACACACGACGAAGATTGGCAACGGAATGCTGAATGTTGAATGTTGAATGTTGAATGCCGAGGGCCTCTGGACCCGTCCTGGCAGCGGTGGCAAGTGTTAATTGGAATCAATTTGATAATCTCCACTCCCCGAATCCCGATATCTGGGTCTCAACTCCGTTGAGTTCATGATAATTTCGCGGATGTTCGTGCGATTTTGATTGAAAATTACGCTGTGGGGGGTTGCGCCTGTCTGTCTGTCTGTGTGTTTCCCTTTTAGCACAAAAGAAACATAATTCAAATTGTATTAATTTAAATGCCAATTTATTGCCAAAAAACATATCTCTCTAGAGGATTGTGGCTCTCTCTCTTTCTCTCGTGAGGATTGCGTGTGTGTTAAATGGAGCACAGCCAAGGGCCCTTGGAGCCAGGACGACTGTAACTGTACCTGGAAGCGACAGATTGTCCATAAATATTGCTTTTCATTTATGAAATTTGTTATGAAATTTGTTTTCTTGATTAATTTGTGATTCAAGGTGAGTCTGAAAGTGGCATTGGAGCTTTGCGAATACATCTTTTGAGAAGATAATTTTATAATAATAATTATAATTATTAATTTTTATTATTAAGGCTACGTCAAGTTTTAGGTAAGTCATCGAGAAGAAACCGTGTGGTTATGGTCCACGAAAGTCCTTATTTGGGCAAAGATATACATCGAAGGTGGATGCATTAATGATACATACATAAGGATACACTATGGCATTCATAAAGATACTCCCTCATAGGATAATTTTTAATTATAACGGAAAAAGTAACCAAATATCCTTCATCACTGCAGGACCTCCAACCCCATCATCGCTCAGTCCTTAATTAAGCCAGAGGCAGCCAGAGCAGTCCACCCACCCACTGTCTGTCAAATCCCACCCAGATCGCTGGCCACAAGGCCCTCCCACAAATAGCAACAAGGCTGACATGTGGCTGCCACCGATGCTGATTAACATATTATGCGACAAAGTGCCACTGGACACAGCAGTGGATGTGGTTTGGTGTGGTGTGTGGACACAGAACTGTGGCAATTCAACGCCTGTCACTGGCTGTTTGCACAGATAATTCACGCCAACGCTGAAACAGATTTCAGAGCCCAGATCCCAGATCCCCGACTCCCAGGGAGAGAAGAGGGTGACGTGACTGTGCCTTGAATCCAGATCAGAGAGCGAGACCACAGTTCCAGTTTGTTTCGGCTTTCGGTTTTTTTTTGTATGGGGTAATTGAAAAAGTTACCTCGACTTGTGCTGCCTGCCAGCCCGTGGGCTGTCTGTCTTTTAGAGTCAGAGTCTGGTGTATCTGGGATATATATCTGTGGCGATGGCTATCGATGTCAGGCGATAGGTGAGTGAGGCAGCAGCAGCAGCAGCAGCAACCACAAAATGTCGCCCGCCTTATGGGCCAATTAAGGGTTAAACATTTTGCATATGCATTCACCGTCACCGTCTCCATCTCCATCTCTGATTTGCATAATTTCGAGCCAGTATCTGGCGCATATCTCTCCTCTGAGTCCTGGCGATGTTGGGTGTCCAATTTCATTAGTGGCGTACGTCCCCAACAACCAAACCAATTCCAAACCAACCTTTCAATTCGCTGGCCATGTTGTGAAATGGAACTTTCAGCATAT